TTTTATTTCCTCACTAGATCAATGTTTAGTAAAAAAATCTACCAGAGCTTCCTTAAATTTAGTATTCTTCAATTCTTTTGCAAAATCTGACTGTCGCACTTGGCTCCGAAATTGTGTAATCACTAAATTTTATTGATGGAAATAAATATTGATCGAACAGTGTTCCAAAATAAAGAATTTTTAAACATACAAAAGACGGTCCTGTACTCACAAAAGCCAGGTGTTAATTTATAACTGCCATTACAGGCGCATACGTGACTAATGTGATGTATCTCCGCGAAGAACTGGTCGGAGTGACGTAATCATAAAAACATAAAAAGCCGGCAGAGCGATTCCAGCTTCCTATAGGTAAGGGTCGTCTCTCTCATACATACGTAATAAATAATTATTTAAGCAACGATATTGTAAAGTCCTAGTACTTAAAAATATAAGCAGTAGTCAAAGTCGGTTCTCTCAAAAAATCGTCTTCTACGCTTATTATGTTTACTACCTTCAGTTTCTTCTTCTTCTTCTTCTTCTTCTTCTTCTTCTTCTTCTTCTTCTTCTTCTTCTTCTTCTTCTTCTTCTTCCTCTTCTTCTTCTTCTTCTTCTTCTTCATCGTTGTCTTCGAGGTTGTGGTCAATATTTTGATACATTATTCCAACTGTATCAAATATTAAGGTATATTGCAGATAACAAATTATCATTCAAATATTTATTTTATTTTCTTCTTTTTATTTATTTAAGACCTTATTAAAAATATTGAACTAAAAAAATGAATCATGCATGCATTACAAAATATTTTTTTTTCCATTGATTTGAATTTTCATTCATCATCATCTGAATCATGTCTGTCGTGGTGTGACTCGTCTTCATCATCCATTGAATTGGATTCTGTAAAAATAAAACGTAAATTATAAAATAAAAGTTTTTTGTAAATTGATCCGAACATATTCGATAAAGAATTGATTATTATGAACTTACTAGGGACTTGGATAATCAAGTCACTCACGAAAGTTAGCAGGTGATCTCCTTCGAACCATTTAAATACCAATTTCAATGTCTTAGTCAATCCAACCATACTCTAATGGGTCCAATGTGGTAGGTTGATTTTTGCAAGCATTTTTCCAAACTGTTAAAATATAATGTGCTCTAAGAAGTTGCTGGTAAAGCTCACTTTTACAAGGTGGTATTGAGCTTGCAACAAAATTAAACATTTTTTTGCTAAAATTTTTATTGACGTCGGAAGCTTTATAATTGCTGACGAAAAGTTGGTACCTTCCATCATCAACGTCAATAGATTTTTTTGCATTATAGAGCTGACAGGTAAATTTCTGTATACTGTTAAATACCTCTTGTTACTGGTCCTCTGTCAAATTTTCTTTACCAAGAGTAGCAAATGCTTGTTGAAATTCAATATTTTTTTCAGCAATGTAAAAGGTTTTTTAACCTTTATTAAAAAAATCCGGATTGAAATCGCATCCTGTGAACGCATGGAAGCCAATTAAGCTTTTGGCTAACAATTCACCAAGCTCTTTGTAAATTTTTGTGACGTCAATATACCTTTCGTTATTTCCTGTTCCATTGAGCATCCAAATATTAGAATTAGAATTTTGTAATTGTGTCATATTACCAATCATTATAATTAAAATATCGGTATCAGAAACTCTAATAACAATATTCGACTGCTCAGTGATATTTCAAGTTTGATAGATTATTTTGGTATCAGCTTCTTAATGTGAAGTACAACATAAATTTTTAACAACACTTGATTGGATCTTGTCATCTACAACTTGATACAATTGACAATTCCAGAAATTTAAATAAATCTGTCGGTTACCCAAAAATGATTTTATTTCCTCACTAGATCAATGTTTAGTAAAAAAATCTACCAGAGCTTCCTTAAATTTAGTATTCTTCAATTCTTTTGCAAAATCTGACTGTCGCACTTGGCTCCGAAATTGTGTAATCACTAAATTTTATTGATGGAAATAAATATTGATCGAACAGTGTTCCAAAATAAAGAATTTTTAAACATACAAAAGACGGTCCTGTACTCACAAAAGCCAGGTGTTAATTTATAACTGCCATTATAGGCGCATACGTGACTAATGTGATGTATCTCCGCGAAGAACTGGTCGGAGTGACGTAATCATAAAAACATAAAAAGCCGGCAGAGCGATTCCAGCTTCCTATAGGTAAGGGTCGTCTCTCTCATACATACGTAATAAATAATTATTTAAGCAACGATATTGTAAAGTCCTAGTACTTAAAAATATAAGCAGTAGTCAAAGTCGGTTCTCTCAAAAAATCGTCTTCTACGCTTATTATGTTTACTACCTTCAGTTTCTTCTTCTTCTTCTTCTTCTTCTTCTTCTTCTTCTTCTTCTTCTTCTTCTTCTTCTTCTTCTTCTTCTTCTTCTTCTTCTTCTTCATCGTTGTCTTCGAGGTTGTGGTCAATATTTTGATACATTATTCCAACTGTATCATGAAGAGTGTCTTTTCCAGTTACAAGATTTTCTTCTTTATTAATTACCTCTGGACATATTTCGGAACGTGAAACAGATGAAAACGTTGCTTCTGTTTCTGGCTCCTCGACAGCGCTATGACTTATGCAGTGACCGCAAAGATTAATTATATCGATAACCTTACAACTGCTTGTAATACTTTTTAATGCCATGCCTAAGCAGATGTGTTTTAAGGTCTTAATGTTACCATTGTCATATATATATAATGTCCTGTGAACGTGATTTCACGTGACGTTGAAAACTTTCGCAATTTCGCCATTTACGTCTGTAACCTCCAAGAATAAATGAAAAAAATTTGGAAATCATGGGTGGTGTTGAACATTCACCTTTTATTAGCCGTTGACTGTTTAAATTATCAGGTAATTTTCTTCTTTTTATGCCCAAAATTTCTTCTCTTAAAATTGCAGCGGCCTCTTGCAAAGTATCTTGCTGTTTCAAGTGTGCAAATATGTCATCAATAGTTGAAATACCTTTTGGGGCAACAATTTTTTTTTGTTTGATATCAAAATTTGAATTTTGTCATTTAATTTCTTGTGAATCTTTTCTTCTAAATAGTGTGTGGTAAATATTGATGTTGTGTCAGAGCCTTCACTTAATTCTTTAAACATTTCGAGATACTCTTTATGTAAATAACTCAGAAAATAACAACGTCCTCGATTTATGACATTCTCTTTAATTAAACAACATATTTCTTTGTAAACAATTTCATGTACTTCTCGGAAGATGTGCCATGAAGTATGGACAGGACTTTTCAGCAGTGATCTTTTCTGATTTCTGAAATTTTCCCGGCAAATATCATGATAATAAACATCACAAAAGAGAACACTTTGTATTTTGGTTAAAGTTTTGCTGTAAATTGCAGTATCTGCCTTAAAGTTTAATAAAATACTCTTTTTAAATTGATCCTTCCCTAAAGTGCGTAATGGCTGATTCTTAGAGCGATATTGTTTCTTTTTTTTTGTTGCAAAAAAATACACAGTCGATGATTCTGCTAAATCTTCGGAAGGTCTTGCCTCTAACGGCTGTTCAGCTTCAGCGTCATTTTTTTTTCTACTTCTTCTGTCTCAGGAAGATTTACATCTTTTACAAGGGAATCATGTACAATTGTATCATCAATTATTGAGCTGATGTAGATGGTAGTTTAATTGCAGACGAAGATGTACTGGGCTGTGATGGAACTTTTGTTTTAACATCTGTCGACATAAAATATCTTTTCAATGCTGTAAATGTCTTACTATGATATACAGAATCATAAATTTCGTCCAGTAAAATGATATCTTTATATTTCAATTTATGAAATTTTCGTAACCTCAAAATCTTCTTCTTTTTCTTCTTCTTCTTCCTTTATTGGGCTATATCCCACTGGATAATTTCTGAATTATTTAAATACTAGTAACAATAACAGAAATTGTTATAGGCTAGAATGAGTACCCTAGTAATCCATAGGGGAAAAAGAAAGATAGCTATAGACATTCTTTGCATACATCTGGCCGGATAATAGCTAAGATTTTGTTGTCTGCTGACGTGTATACTCAATGAAGACTGTAATATCCCTAATTTCCTTAAGAACTACAATTATATTATTATTTTTCCCTTAATTCCAATTTATAATAAAACTCAATTTAATGCTGAATTGAAAGTGCCTTTATTCGATTCCACATTGAAGCTTGCGTTATCGCCATACAGTAAAAAACAGTACAATATAACCGAATAGAAATTAATTGTATAGGGTGATGTCCATATATAATAATACAGTATATTAAATACATTACAAAGACGTCTGCCGTGATAAATATAAGTTTTTAAGACCCTAATAAATAAAATATGTCAATTAAAGATCTGGTCAATCACTTTCAAAATTTTATTATTTTCATCACTTTCAAAACTGTCTGCCACAATGTTAAACGCTCGATAATGGTCTGCCATTGTTGTTTTCTGATAATAGTAATAGTTTTTTAAATTTCAAAATGGCAAACGTGCTCAAGTGCATTTAAAATTTGCCAAAATCATCGATACCTGACTTACCTGAGCGCTCGCCGCGTCCACCACTTTGGGTTTAGTGACTCCCTATCTCAGGTATGGTAGATATAGGGGTCTCAGTGTACAAAAACTCAGGTCTGGTCAAATACATATAAGTAGCCGTCCACTGGCTCTTAGACTATTTCATTTAGCGATTTTACACAAGAATAACCTATTTTAATGTATGTTTAATCTCAATAACTAAAAATATACTGACAATTAGTTTGACAGAATTGTCACTTATTTCAAATTTTAAAAATAATTTCAGTCGGTTGATCAAAATATAAACGGTGATTGGTGGGTTTCATTTTTTTACAGTGTGTTTAGTACCTAGAATGGAGAAGGCAATAGCATACTTTTTCGTTTTGTAATCTGTGCATAGATAAGCCAATGTCCATGTAGATGTAGAAAAACTATTTTATATAGTTAGAAGTGTTCAATTATCCTATCAAAATTATAAATTATGCTACTCACCGATACAATTAAAAACCTTTCTTGCAGACGTTAGAGTTAAGATTTTTCTATTGGTAACATAATCGGAAATAACACTGAACAATAGACTCAATACAAATTGGACTATATAAGGTAATGCTGACAAAAATCCATTCTGAAACAAAATTATATTATAATATAAAAGTATAGATAATAAACACACTGAGGATGTTTTAATTTTAAATTCCACACTTCATAATTTAGGAAAAATGGATTTTAAAGGTATGTTACACTTGTACTATAAATACGTAAGTTCTTATAAAACCTATAGGATTAGGTTTTGTTAGTAGTGTAGGCAATGTAAGTATCCAGCCCCACCTCGACCTTCTCAAATCTCTTACTGATATCCTCTTGATTATATTTTATAGTAGTTCGTCTATCTTTAACTTTTCCAGTAGATTAGGAAGTACCTTTCCATAATTCTTAAGATTTTTTTTAACATTAACTGTTTTGTAGATGTTTTGATGGCGGCCTTTGTGACATCACCTCCTATACCAAAAAAAAAATCCTTTAGGGCTTTCTCTCGGGCAGTAAATCAGCCTTTTAATTTCTCTTATATCCCCTGTAGTTTGTTTTGTCCACCCAGCTCTGTTAGTATTTCCAAATAGTCACACACAAAAGCGTTACATGTAAAACTTATAAGGGTTGTAAAAAGTATATATACTTACTGATTTTAGGTCGAATTTCATTATTTTATTCAAATAGGTAGGTATTTGAGATAAGAGTATCCAGAATCCAAGGATAAAACAAGTATAAGTATAGAACAATGCATAAAATGGAACGGATGTGAATATTCCTTTCCAGGGCGTCTTTAACTAGAACATAAAATTATATTTACAGAAGCATCAAACTACTGGAAACAGTTTCTATATAAATATTAAAGATGATTAACTTACTCTCTTTTTTGATTGTATTGCAGTCATTTCAATATAAGCCAGTTCCTCTGCTGTGATGGATTTGCTTTCAGCCGGTGAATTACAACCGCAAATTGCGTAAATAATACACCAAATTATACCTAACGTACTAAAAAAATGGAACACCATCGGCCAACCATACAGACTAGCAGATAAAGATCCAGATATCATCATTCCAAATACCGTACCAACACAACTAGCTTAAATTAAATGTTTAATAAATATTTTTTACCGCTTTTTTCTACATTTTGACCAACCTGCATAAATAAAATTACAAATCCTTCCTCTTTCGCTTAGAGGTACCCATCTGCTTAAAAAAATTGGTACCGCTGGTATCATAAATCCTTGGCAGAAACCCTGTATCATCCTACAAATTATGACTCCCATTGATCCCATATAAACTGCAGCAGGTGGTAAAAGATATCCTACTAAAGATCCGATTCCAACACTGCCAATCATAAACCATTTTGGGCCGTAGCGTGTCATTAGCCAGCCGGCCATAACTTGGGGTATAACGTAACCCCAGAAAAAGGATGAGAGGATTACGTTCCTGTTGGTCCAATTGAAGGTCTAAAAGATGGTTTTGGATTAAATAATAATTGGTAATAGTTTATTATACATTATATAATATCAGTAGAGAAATCAGCGCATAAAGGAAGAATATTTTTTAGAAAATCTTTTATTTTTCTTAAAAATTGAGATAACAAGGTGAATAGGGGGGTGGGTGGCTCAGTGGTAGAGTCTCTGCCTGTAGATCCAAGGGTCTCAGTTTCGAATCCCACCGTTGACCGGGATTTTTTTATTTAATTTAATTATTTAAAATTAATTCTGATGCCTTGGTAGGATTCCCCACTCGACCATTCACTGTTGGGTTCTAATTAACAGTGTTGTTCCTAAAGTGGCGCCTGGAAACAGTAAAAAAGCCTACATAGAACAAGAGGCTAATGGCTTTAGTAGTCGATGCTGATGACACCAAATTAAAAAAAAAAAACAAGGTGAATAAAAAAAGAAAATAGGTTATAGATTTAGGCAAATAAATAAAAAAAAATAACACATCTGAATAAGCTGGTGTTAACTTACAGGAATATCCTTATTTTCGTTAGCAGTTGGATCTGTCATCGCCACTACTGTTAATGATAAATTGACCCTAGTACAATAGCTGATAAATAGTCCGAGAAAGTAAAGAATTGCTTCTACATATCTTTTTCCAAATTTTGGACCTTAAAAAAATAGAATAATTAATATATTTATAGTATACTTATTATTACATTATAAGAGTGATCAAATCCTTTTACATAACTGACATACAATATTTTTGCTACGACCACAAAATAATTTTATTAATATAATGTAAAACAAGAAACTATCGCTATGAAGGTTCAATCAAGATGTGGTTGGGCTAGTTTAAATTTTTTTATATGCTTTATTAAATAATTTTTAAATTGTTTTACGAATAGTACTTTAAATAAATTAAATACATTTCAATTCTTTTTATAAATACTTTCATAGGATAATATATAGGTAAAGTAGTATTAGAATACAATCATATTTTTCATTAGTTTATTTGTTTTTAAATACAGAAAATAATAAGATAACCAACTGTAAACAAGAACTTTTCTATCATTTTGTTTCATACCAATTATCAAAATAGTACAAAATTATTGAATTGCATAACTGTTATATTTTAATAAAGTATTCATAAAACTTCATAGAATTTCAACTGCATTTTATTAGATCAACTATACAGGGTATTTAAGAAGTTATATATGTTTAAAAGGGTCCAAATATAAGAGATCACACAGTGAAAGACCTAATTTTATATTTGTATAGGCTGTCTGGAAATATTTTTTTAAATTATGACACTGGGATTCAAAAAACCGACAACTTTATTATTAATTGAAAAATGTATTTAGACTAATAAATCAGTAAACAGCAACACAATCTTTAGCAATAATTGAATCATTACCTTTTCTTTGACAGTTTTTCGAAAAAAAAATTTCAACTCATCTTCAAAAGTAACCTCAGAAAAGCAGAATGGATTAAATATAAGGAATGATTGTATAAATTTTAAATAAATGAAATGAGAAATATTTTTTCTTATAATTCACTATCTATAAAATCCTAATAACACAAGTATCATTTGTTACCATTTAATATATATAGAATAGGTGTGTTATAGTTAATTTTTTGACTCTTGAAATCTAATATGATAAAATTTTAAGTTACGATAAGCAATTGAAAATTTCAAATAAGCAAAGAGAAAATTGTTCGAGAGAGCCCGAGAGAGCTCGAGAGAAGCGAGAACTTCTCGTCTCGTCTCGAATCTGTTTTCGAGAGAAAATATCTCTCTCGTCTCATCCGAGAAGAGACGAGAGACGAGAATCTCTCGTCTCGCGGCATTACTACACCTAGAGTAATATTTACTTATATAGCAAAAATTATTGAATTATTTAGTCATAAAAAAGTATATTATAGCTTGAAATCACTTATGGATTTTGGAGAAAATGATATTTTGTATTTAGCAGTAAATTTACCGAAAATAATAATATTATTACATTTTAAAAAAGGGGTGGGTGGCTCAGTGGTTAGAGCCTCTGCCTGTGGATCCAAGGGTCCCAGGTTCGAATCCCACTGTTGGCCGGAATGTTTTCATTTAATTTTATTATTTAAAATTAATTCTGATGCCTTGGTAGGATTCCCTACTCGACCATTCACTGTTGGGTTCTAATTAACAGTGCTGTTCCTAAAGTGGCGATGGGAAACAGTAAGAAAGCCTACACAGTACACGAGGCGAAATAACCTTAGCAGTTGAAGCCGATAACACACCAAAAAAAAAATACATTTTAAAAATGGTATTTATACTGATTTTGAAAAAACATTGGACAAAGTGAACCAAGATTTTCTTTGAATAAATTGAGGTATTGTCATGGTTATTATAGACTGAACTATTCTATTTCATAATTATTGCTAATAACTCAGATTGTATCATATGTAGATGAATTAGAACATATATTTTAAACTGGACATCAACTGAAATTTGTATTTAATCGAAAAATTTTAAATATTAATTTTGGACATACCTTGATCAACGATAACTTTGTCTTCTTCATTTTCAAATATATATTCTTTTTCTACGTCATTTTCTATACTCAAACTTCTTTTTACTCCTTTATAAAGGTATTTATCGCCATTTGTGCTGTTTCTTCTATGTGCCATTATGTAAAAATGTTTAAAACACCATTCAAATCACATTTTTTACTACGAATAACTAAGTTTTTATTAATAAAAACCTATTCCTATTTTAATTAAATAAAAATGATTATGAAATATTCTATACTTAATCTTGTTAAGCAGTGATAATGCTATAAACATACATTTGGCAGTATTTATTTAAATGAAGCTTTGCAATCTATTGTTTTCACAAAGTAATCATACGGAAGATTTGCATAAAAAAAGTTGTAGAATTTAAATGTCAATGTTAAGTCTGATTTCGAAATTTCTTTGCAATTAAATACGTTGAGTTAATTTAAGATAATTTGTAGGTTTTATTACACTATATAATTTAGTTCTAAGATGATTTTAAATTTGTATTTAAATAAAAATAAAAAATAAAAAAACTTTAATTATCATAAATAACATATAAAATACAAGATACTAATAATTAAACATATAAATCATAATAAATAAAGTGGTTGAGTCGATAAGTAAAAAATTTACTTGTTTCGACAGAAATACATAATACATAATACATAATAAAATATAAACACATTTCTTAATACTATGGTAAAATTCTAAAACTGTAATATTAATAATGGCATATAAAGTTAACAGAGTAAGTATTGGGGTAAAAAATAAGGATCTTAGAAGAAGAGTATATTTCAAAATCGTGACACTAGTTTGTGTACCTAAGTTTTTTTTTTTTTTTAAGTTCTACATTCTTATTTATTTAATTTTTTTTTAATTTTTTTCTATGAGTTCGGATATTATTTTTCTATCCGATTGTACTAAGTGAAATTTTAATTTCTTCTTAAAACTAGTTTTGTTCTTTATATTTTTTAAATGAGAAGGAACATAATTATAAATTTTATTTGACAAATATGAATATGATCGTTGTGATAAAGATTTTTTTACAGTGGGTGGAATTGTGTTATTTTTCTGTCTTGTGTTGTAGGTATGTAGTAAGGTATATTTATCGGTAGAGAAATGAAATTTTGTATTCACTACTAGGTAAAATAGCTGGCGTAGATCCAAAATGTGACTTTCTTTGAATAACATGTCAGAAGAGTACCTTCTATTTTTGGATAAAATTAATTTCAAAAATCGTTTTTGTATAATTTCAAGTGGATTAATGTGTACTCTAAGTGCACTTCCCCAGACTACTATTCCATACCGCAGATGACTTTCAACCAATGCAAAATATAGTATTTTCATTGCTTTTAATGGGAGGTATTTATTCAGGTACTTAAATTTATATAAAATTGATTGTAATTTTTTTATTACAAATTTTATATGAATATCCCATTTAAGATGAGTATCAATAATCACTCCTAGATATTTAGTATTTTTTATAGCATTAACTTTGAAGGAAGTATCATTTTTGTTAATTCTAAGTTGCTGATAGGGGCAGATATTCGTGTTGGTGCAGCTAAAGGGTAGAAAATGTGTTTTATCCATATTTATGGTAAGTAGCTTATAGTTAAACCATTTGATCAGATATAGAAAATCCTTTTCTGCTTTATGTTTTAATTCGATCCAGGTATCAGCCTTATAAAAAACCGCTGTGTCATCAGCATAACCCAGTATATCTCCTGTTGTATTAAGACTAAATATACTATTTATGTACAAGTTAAAGAGGATCGGCCCTAGAACCGTACCTTGTGGTACCCCATAGTCGATAGGTTTTGTATTACTTGTTGTACCATTAACTTTTACTGCTTGATATCTATTATTTAAATAGCTTTCTAACAAAAGTAAACATTTTCCTCTAAGACCAATGGATTCAAGAGTATCCAGGAGTTGCTGATGGCTTACCGTGTCAAAGGCCTTCGCAAAATCAATGAAAATACATAGACAAGGGTTTCCTTTCTCTAGCGCGTGGTGTACTTTATCTGTAAGAGCTAATACTGCATCTTCAGTGGACGTGTTTTCTTTAAAACCATATTGTCTACTTGAAATTAGATCATGTTTGTCTATGTATGATAATAACCGTTTTTTTAGTAATTTGTCAAAAATCTTTGACAAGTTGGTAATAAGGGATATTGGACGATAATTCGTGACTACAGTTTTATCTCCTTTTTTATAAATAGGAATAACAATTGTTTTTTTGAATGAATCAGGCCAAATTCCATTCTCTAAGCAGAGATTTACGATGTAGGCAAGCGGAGCCACTATAAAATCGGCCACTGTTTTTATAGTTTCTGAACGAATATCATCTATACCTGTAGATTTCTTATCTTTTAGTTCGTGTATTATAACTTTGAGTTCTGTTGGTGAAGTAGGAAATAAACTTATACTAGAAGGTATTCTGTTCTCCCGTAATTTAAAATTTGGGTCCCGTTTTATTTTTTCAGCAAGATTTTTCCCCATTTCCGTAAATCTCCTATTGAATTCGTTAGCGATTTCAACAGAATCAGTAAGTAAATCTCCATTTTATTTTTTTATTTGTTTGATGGTACTTTCTTTGTTATTAGATTTACTTAGATTTTTTACAACGTCCCATAGGTGTTTTGAATTATTTGCATTTCTTTCTATCTGTTGTTTGTAGTAATTAGCTTTTGTTTTATTTAAGATATTTGTAAGTTTATTTCTATATAATTTGTACTCTTTTTTTATTGGTTCGTTATTAGGAAACTTTATAGTTTTTTTAAACAAATCACTCTTTTTATTTATAGATGTTAGCAAGCCATTTGTAATCCATGGCGCAAGTTTAGAATTTTTTCTTGTACATTTTTTTATTTCTAAAGATTTGTTAATGTTTTCAGAAAATATTTTAATGAATATGTTTATTGCAGTATTTGGATCAGTCACTGTGTACACAGACTGCCAGCTGATTTGAGAAACATTTTGTATTAATTTTTTAACATTTAAAAATTTTTTGACCATAACTTCTGAAGGAATTTTTATGTTCTCATGTAAGACAATTTGAAGTATTGTTATAAAATGATCTGTTACATTGCTTTTTACTATAATCGGAATAATCATATCTGAAATAGAAGTTTTAGATTTTATAAAAATGTGGTCTAGGCAATTATCAAGTCTGGTAGGTTCGTTAATTGTAGAGATATAACCGAATTCACTAAGAATATTTAAATATTCAATACAGTTGTCATCTGATTCAAGGATATTAATATTTATATCACCTATAAACAAATAAAAATGTTCAGATTCTGTTTGATTGTCCTTTATATTGGAAGCTGGTGATCTGTAGAGTGCACTTATTACTATGTTCTTTTCGATTAGATTAACTTTAGTTTTAAGAATTTTAATGTTACCTAATTGTACAATTTCATATTCATAATCATATTTACTCTTTAGGTACATCAATACTCCATCATTTTGATTATAATCTCCTTCGTTATAGATCATATTGTAACCCGGTAGGTTATATAAAGTGCAGTCTGATAATATTCTAGTTTCTGTAAAAACAATACAATCAAATTCTTCATCAATGTTTTTTAAAAATATTTTGAATTCATCTATATTTTTGTGCACACTCCGTATATTATTGTGTATTATTTTAAAATTGTTATTTAGTTTGTTGACCTTTAAAATTTCTTTACATTCAATTTCTGTATCTAAGGTGTAAGTTTTTACAGGATCTAGTTTGAAATCATGTATATATTGATCCATATCTGATTTTGTTAATTATACTAATTTTATATCTAGTTTAAAAATAATAAAAAAAATGTAATAAACAGTTAACCAAAATTCTTAGATTTACTTTAGTCAAGGAGCAGTTTCATAAAGGGTATTTGCTTTATATTAGTAAAAATTAATTTAGATTTGTTTAGAATTTGATCCAGATCTTGTCCTTTTTTCAAATTGGTTCTTTGGAATAGGATTTTTTGGCAGAGTGGGTTTGGGTTTCTGATTCTTACTTTTTGGAGTTGCCGTATTTTTTTTTCATCCGGTTTATCTTCTGTTTGAATGATTGTTGTATCACGGTCTCTATTGTTGAGGTCCTCTAAATTAGTTTCCGTATTATTTGAATTATTTGAAGGAGTGGATGGTGCACAAAGTGATTGGCTTTGTTCTTTTGGAAGTATAGAGTTCTGTAGTTCTTCTGCTGTATAGGATTTATTTCCAACGAATAATTTTCCTCCCTTTATATAGCTTCTTTCGTTGGCGTTTCTGCGGGCCTCTTTTAAATAATTCGTTAAGATTTTTATTTCCTCTCGTTGTATTTCTGTGAGATCCTGTACAATTTTTATATTAGTTGATTTTAATTTGTTGCAGTTTTGAAATATTTGTTTCTTTTTTAGTGACGAGATTAATTCTAGTTTTAATGGAGAGGTGTCTGAATTCCCTAACGAATATAAGTTAGAGATATCCTGTTCAAATAAATCTATTTGGAGTAATCGTTTTATTTCCTCACAGATGAAGGCCACACTTCTTTCAAATTTTGGTTTGTTTAATCCGAAAATTATTATATTGTTACGTTTTTGATTTCTTTCAATGTTTTCCAATTTCTCTTTAAGATGTTGATTTTCTACTTCTAGATTGCTGATTCTCTTATTCTGTTTTTCAATACTCAGTGCTATTCGCGCTTCTGACGCTTCAATCGAATTTTTTAGTTCTTGTTTAGTGCTTATTATTTCTTGAAGAAGTTCAGTCTTAAAGCTTAGTAGTAGACTTCTTATTTGTTCTTCTGATGCCATTATTTTGCTTTTTATTTCTTATGTTTAAAATATTTACTTTACAGGCTCCCGGACTATATCATATTTTTATTTTAGACGACAATGTGCAACTATTTAATGAAATTTGTATTTTCTCAAAATCAAGTAGTTTTTCTAGACTTTTTAGATATAATTATTGAAAGATCGAGTTTGTAAATCAATATCCACTTACTTTTCAATTGTAGTTGTGTCTTTTCACTATTAATTATTTGAATTTGGAAGAGCACACTAAAAGCACGTCTGAATTAAATGAGTACTCACTCTATTTGGCTTGTTTATTATTCTTTGAACATCTTAATTAAATTTTTCATTTAGCGTACCACAAGGTTCCTACCTGGGACCACTTTTATTTAATATTTATATTAATGATATTTCTAGCGGTTTTAGTTTTGAGAAGTTGCTGTTTTACGCAGATATCTTAAAATATACTATTCCGTAAAGAATATTGCAGATTTTCAAACAGTAAAAATGGCCTCAATTAAATATAGACATACAGTTAATCGAATATCT